CTCTTTCCTCTCCTCAGTGATATTTACTCTTTGTGCAAAACAAACAGTGGAGCGATCAGCTGCTCACTCCAATGCTTTATATCACTTCCTGTTCATTCATAAGTTTCTGAATGGGTAGTAGCACTCTGTACAGAGGATTCTCCTCATTTAGGAACTGGTTGATAGTATATATTTTCAAAATGAATGGGAAGCCTCTACTTTCCATTCGTTTAGAACAGATGCTGCAGAAAAAGAGATTAAGGACTCTATTTCTTGTTTGTTTAGACCCCTAATATGTCCCAGAAGCCACCCCAACAGTAAAATAAAATAAATAAAAAGAAATAATAAGTAAAAAATAATAAAAAAATAAATAGAAAATAAAAAAAACATATCCTGGAGGCGGGGTACATGACGTTGCCGCAAGTGTGCGGCCTTGGGTGACGTCACATGCCTGTTGGGGGTGGGGGGGGCACTTTTTTTGTTCTTGCCTCAGGTGCAAAAGGAGCTAGCTACGGCTCTGTCTGTATGAGGAACATACTTTAAAAGAACCAAAAATATTTTCAACTGATCGACATTGTGGGAGCATGCAAATTCTACTGCCGTGTTTTAGTATCTTTGGGGTTCACCTCTAAACTATACAATGAAGTTATGAAGGTGTTCATGAGAATATATATTTTATGCCAACAAAGCTTTAACAAGTTTCTGTGTGAGGCAACAATGGCTGAGGTTATTACACGTGTTCTGCTGCAAAGTGCAAAGTTAATAGATTAGATAAGTATTACTAGATGTCTGAAGACTCTACTCAGGCCGCCAGGGTTTGAAGTTTTCTGTTCATGTTCAATAAAATATTAACAAATAGTGTCAGAGATCAAAGATATTAAATTCAATAAAGATTACGAAATATTTACCTTCATTCATTTTAGTAACGTAAGAAGTTGATTTAAATACAGATGGCTATTGTGATCACTGACCACATGAAGCTCCACTCCCAAGGTGGCCACACACTGTGCGATTTTCGTTCAGAAATCGTACACGAATGGTCTTCCGAACAATATTTGAAAGTTGATGGTACATCACCAGTTGTCGTTTTTGATATTGTGAAAACTTTTCTCTGAGGGCTTGTTCACACCCAGTGTTGAGCAGATGCAGAGAGTTACGGAACGCATAAAAAATGCATCCAATGGTATTTTGGGCTCTAGTTCACACCACCGCGTTCAGTTCCCGGAGCATGTGGAAAAACTGCAGCATGCCCTATTTTTTCTGCCCAGGAACGCACCAAAACGCATGTAACGCATAAAAAACTCATGCAAACGCCCTGGAACGTACTGAAAGCCCATTTTGGGCACAAAAACGTCCCAGAACGTGGCAAAAACGTGGCAAAACGCACAGCACTGCATATGCAGAAACTCATGCAGATCTGGCCCGGATTTGGTGTGAACTAGCTCTGACCGAACAAAAATCGTTAAATCAGGGGAGTTTTCGTTAGTCAAAGAACACAGCACATATGCAAAAGAAAATTATTTTGGTCGTTCTTCAAAATTTGGTTGGTTAGTATGGCTAACGAACGATTTCTGAAATCATCATTTGATATGCTTGATGGGGTATTTGAACTATACTCCAACAAGGGTTCTTAGAAAAAAATGAAAATTTCTGACCGAAAATC